CCCCCCCCCCCCCGGGGGGGTTTCCAACCCCACCCCCTCCTCGATGCCATAATTTTGGGGTTCCTGTTGCCTTTCTGGGCCGACCCAGCCCCTGGGAATGGGGAATGGAAGCAGGTGGAGGGAACAGGCAGTGGCTGGGCTGTATCCCGGGATGGGGGTTTGGGATCCATCCTGCCCTGGGATGGGGGAGCTGCGGGAACACCGACACAGCCACAGCCCCGTCCCGGGGCCAGCTGCCTTTTCCTGTCCCATTCCAGGATTTTTCCCTCTTCCCTGCCCTGGAGCAGCACGGAGAAGGGCTGGGAAGGGGGTGCTAGCTCCGGAGAGCCCCGGATTCCGTCCGGGAAGAGCTGGATCAGCCCCTTCCCGGCAGGATTTTAAACGTGGGAGCGACTCAGGGATCGGCCTCGGCCTGGGGGACGTTCCATGGGAACGGGGAGGGCTTGGATGGGAAGAAGCCTTAAGTTCCATCCCATTCCACGGGCAGGGACAATTCCCGCTGTCCCAGGGGATCCAGCCCGGCCTGGGACACTGCAGGGATCATCCAGGGGCAGCCACAGCTTCCCTGGGAATTCCAGCCCAGCCGGGAATCCCTTCCCAATCTCCCCTTTCCCAGTTGGAAGCCATTCCCTGTGTCCTTCCAGGCATTGCAGGCCCTGATCCCAAATCCCTCTCCAGCTCTCCTGGAGCCCCTGCAGGCTCGGGAAGGGGCTCCAAGCTCTCCCTGGATCCCATTTTTTCCCATATAGAAACCATAAATGAGAATACAACCACTGATACATCCATGAATGTGAGTTTGCAGGCACAGGTATAAATACAGGTGATAATATCATAAATATAGAGTGGGTTTATGTGTCTATAAATATATAGATAGGTGTAGATAGTAAATGTATGCAATAATATAGCAATATATAATGACATAATTCTATATTATACATAGAATATAGAATTATACATTATAATAAGATATAAACATATATTTATTAACATATATTTACATCAATGTACGTGTATATTATGTATTTCTATGTATATATAGATATGTAATGTACACTCCTAATACAAATATGTATATATTTGATGTATTTTATATATATTTATATAAAATACAAATAAATCTACGAAATACACACGCCCAATGTGCATGTATATAAAAATATAAATAAATGTAGAAATAAAGGGATAGCAGAAATACATATATATGTTGGATAAATATGTGTGTATTTTACATTTATTTATTTATTTATCTATAAATCCCTATTTCTGGCAGAATCCCTGGGATTTTTTCCCGGGGGGGGAAAGAGGCCCTTTGTCCCTGACCGTCCCTGACCGTCCCTGTGTTCCCTTTCCCAGACATTCCGGTGGCCGGTGGGGACGGACATCGACGGGAACGAGCTCCTGGAGATCCAGGTCTTCAACTACAGCAAAGTCTTCACCAACAGGTCAGGGGGTCATCCCGGCCCTTCCCCGTGGGAAGGGGGAGCTCCCGCTGGATCCCCAGGGGACGGGAATTCCCAGGGAACCTCCCTCTGGATCCCTGCTGGCTCCGGGGACGGGAATTCCTGGGGAACCTCCCTCTGGATCCCTGCTGGATCCCCGGGGGGATGGGAATTCCCGGGGAAGCTCCCTCTGGATCCCCGCTGGCTCCGGGGACGGGAATTCCTGGGGAAGCTCCTGCTGGATCTCCGCTGGCTCCAGGGCAGGGAAGTTGGGAATTCCCAGGGAATCTCCCGCTGGATCCCCGCTGGCTCCCCGGGGGACGGGAATTCCCTGGGAAGGGGCAGGGCTGGGGTTGGTCGCACCAGGAGCTCCGCCGTGCCCGGGCTTTGCTTTTCCCGGGATTTTACGAGCTCTGCAGGGGGGTGGTTTGTTGTTCCCAGGGAAGCTGTGGCTGCCCCTGGATGATCCCTGGGAGTGTCCCAGGCCGGGTTGGATCCCCTGGGATAGCGGGAATTGTCCCTGAACGTGGAATGGGATGAGCTTTGGGGTCCCTTCCCACCCGAACCGGGGGGGGGAAGGGAAGAAAATAAAATGAAATCCTAAAGGCAACTCCGGCCCATCCTCCGGGCCTGGAATGAGGAGAAGGAGGGGGAGGAGGAGGGGAAGGACAGACAAAGCCAGGGAGAGGAGGGAGAGCGGGAGGGTTTGGAAAGGCGAGCCCCGGGCCCCGTGAATAATTCACGTGCAGCCGATCAGTGCCATCGATAATGGCCGGGCCGGGATAAAGGCGGGACACCCGATCCAGGCCCCGCTGGAATGCGGGAGGGGGGGAAGGGGGGGGTGTTGGGAGCAGACAGGACGCGGCCCGGGGCTCTCTTTGTTCCCTGCCAGCCCCTAATGAGGTGTAAGCCGAGCCCGGGCCGGTCCCAGGGGTTCCAGTCGGGTGCCTCGGGCCCAGACTGGTTCCTGCTGGTTTTCCAGAGGGGCTCTGGGATGGGGGGGGATCCCTGGGAGCATTCCCAGGACGCTGCACGTCCCTGTGCCCAGGGAAAGGGGATGTGGGAGATGCACAAACACAGCCCAGGGGGGTCCCGGCACAGCCACCGGCGCCGAACCTGGATCGGCAATCCCGGCTCCTGCATCGGGAATTCCCGGGCTGGGAATGCCCCGGGACACATCCCCATCCCCCGGGATGGGGGGAGGGACGAGGGGCAGTGTCCCATCCCACCCAGGCTGCCTCCAGTGGGGTGAATCCGGGCTGGAAATGCCCCAAACCAGAGAGGGGGGGGCATAATTGTGGGGTCTCTCACACCCAGGAGAAGGATCAGTAATTTGGGGTCTTTTCACACCCAGGACAAGGATCAATAGTTGTGGATCTTCCATACCCAAGAGAGGGATCAATAATTTTGGATCATTTCACACCCAGGAGTGGGATCAATAATTGTAGGGCCTGAACACCCAAATGCCCCCCAACAGGAATAGGATCAGTAATGGGGGGTCTTTCACACCCAAGAAAAGGATCAGTAATGTTGGATCTTTTCACACCCAGGACAGGGATCAATAATTTTGGGGTTTTCCAGACCCAAGAGAGGGATCAGTAATTGTAGGGCCCACACAAGGCTCCACACAAGAACAGGATCAATAGCTCTGGGGTGAGCTCCAGGGACACAGGAGATGATGGATACAGCAGTCAGGTGTGGGATGAGCTCCCAGCCGTGGGATACTTGGGATTGCCGTGGGAGGAGCTCTATGGAAGCAGGAGATGATGGATGCAGGAGATGATGGACACAGGAGGTGATGGAAGCGGGAGATAATGGATATAGGAGATGATGGATGCAGGAGATGATGGACACAGGAGGTGATGGAAGCAGGAGATGATGGAAGCAGGAGATGATGGAAGCAGGAGGTGATGGAAGTAGATGGATACAGGAGATAATGGATGCAGGAGATAATGGATATAGGAGATGATGGATGCAGGAGATGATGGACACAGGAGGTGATGGATATAGGAGATGATGGAAGCAGGGGATGATGGATGCAGGAGGTGATGGATACAGAGATGGGTGTGGGATGTGAGCTGGGACACTCAGGATTGCTGTGGGATGAGCTCCATGGACACAGGAGATGATGGACGCAGGAGATGATGGATGCAGGAGGTGATGGATGCAGGAGGTGATGGATGCAGGAGATGATGGATAGAGGAGATGGGTGTGGGATGAGCTCCCAGCTGTGGGACAGTCAGGAT